TGCGGGTACCCTTCCGTTTGATTATTTAGGTGTTCCAGTCGGTGCTAACATGAATTTAATTAAAAACTGGAAGCCGATAATCAAAAATTTTCACTCCAAACTCTTTGTGTGGAAGGCTAAAACATTGTCTTTTGGAGGCAGACTAACCTTAATAAAGCCAGTCCTTGGTAATATCCCTACCTATTATCTCTCGTTGTTCAAAGCTCCAATGGGTGTTTTAGACGAATTGGAGAAGATTAGGCGGTCCTTTCTTTGGGGCGGTTGTAATGAGAGTAAGAAAATTCACTAGGTTAGCTGGGAAAAGGTGTTGGCAGCCAAAAGTAAAGGGGGTGTTGTTGTGGGTTCCATAAAAGCCTTAAACATTGGGCTACTAGTGAAATGGTGGTGGCGATTAAAGAATGATAGACATTCCCTTTGGGCCCGCATGATCTCTGGAATCCATAACTTATTGAATAAGCCCTTTGAATATCTTTCTAATCATTCGTGTGTTGGGGTATGGAATAATATTGGCAGAATTAAGAATGCATTAATAAAACATGGTTTGGATGTCCATGACATATTCAATGTGGTGATTGAGTTGGGGAAACAAACACTCTTCTGGTATGACTCATGGTTGGGGTCCGGGAATCTTAAGGCTAAATACCCTTCCCTATTTGAATTGGAAACAAAGAAAAGATGTAAGGTATCCGACAAAATTGTTGATTCGAACCATGTATGGGCTTGGAAGTCTAGACCGGTTGACCTAGGTTTAGACTCGGTTTCTGCCCTATCTAGAGATATTAATGATATTCGTCTCGGGGCAGGTCTGGACCACTGGAGTTGCAAATTATCAGGTGATGGTAGGTACTCGGTTAGCTGTCTCAGAAAGATTGTGGATGCTACGCAGGTTAACATTCCTGAGACTTCCGATATTCTTTGGTGTAAGGCAGTACCAATCAAGGTGATATGCTTTATTTGGAGGGCGGTACAAGATAGAATTCCAACTACTGTGGCCTTAAAGAAGAGGGGCATTGTCGTAAATTCCATGCAATGTTGTTCGTGCATTGGGGCGCCTGAAGGCCTAGAACGCGTCCTTATGGACTGCCCATTCGCGACTATGATTATGAATAACATCTTGGGTTGGTGTGGATTATCAAATGCTCAGGACTCTATAAAGAATGTCTATGATCTTCTTCACCTGGTTGCCACCGGATGGAACTGCCATAGAAAAAGAGAAAGATTGGTTGCTATCTGCTATGGTTTGCCGTGGAATTTATGGAGATTCAGAAATAAACGACTTTTTCAAATGGATGGTACTTCACCATCTCAAGGAATTGATTGTATAAAGTCAATGATTTTTTACTGGTTGAAGCATAGAAGTAAGAATAATATTTGTAATTGGGAGGAGTGATTAGTTTCTCATTTTCTGATTTGTAATTTCTATTTGCTTTGTATTTTGTTTTTGGTACTACATCTAGTTCCTTGCTAGGTTTAGGTACCATCTCTTTAATATATATTTGCCGTTTTAAAAAAAAAAATGTTACTAAAAATAAAAAACAAAAGCTTTTAAATTGAAAACATAATTTTCTATCAACACAAGGATCTTTTTTTATAATTTTATTCTATTAATTAAATTTTTTTTTTTAGCAATACTGTGAATTTCCTCGCCCCTACATTACTGTCCACCTTTTCATATCTAATAATAGCAATAAGTTTAGCGTGTGATGTAAAAACTCAAGAAGAATTTTATTTTCATCTAAAAAACTATTAAATGAATGAAATTCTATAAAAGGAACAAAATGAAGTTGAATAAACTTCAAAATCTGAGACGTGTTAATGGGACCGATATCTCTCAAAGGACAAAGTTTTGTTGACCATGACATTTACAAAGTTCTCTGTATTTTAATAGCTCTCACACAGGCTGTCAAAGTCAAGTGAGGACCCGCATATTAATTCATCTCTAAAAACAAAATATTTAAAATACTATTATCTCATTTATATTAATAAAAGTTTTATATAAACGTAATGATAAACGGGCAACAAAGGTGTGTCGCGACCCTTTAAAATATTGTTCATCTAGAAATAAACCAAATAACAATCTTGAAACAACTAAAATCATACAATAATAAGGTTTGAATTGTAAATTTACAATAAATCATTAAACCAATTTTGATTGGATCAAGTCTTTTGTTTAAACAAGTTCTAAATTATTAAAAAAACTGAAAGCCCTATAAAATAGGAGAATTAACAAAGGACAGTTGAGGGTTTTGAAGAATATAATACATACATTAAAAGAAGGAAAAAAAAAAAAAGACAATTTCAATTCTTCATCCTTCTAGAACGAGATCAAAATGTAACAAACCCAAAGCAATACGAACGTAACAACTTAAATTGTTTTCCGTTTTCAGGTTCCGGATCATTACTTCGTTTAAAACTGATATATATATATATATATATATATATATATATATATATATATATATATATATATATATATATATATATATATATATATATATTATATATATAATATATATATATATATATATATATATATATATATATATATATAATGATTAGGGCAACACATATTTGAACCAATGTAAACATGATAATACATCACTTCCACAATAACTTCCACAATATATTACTTGTGAAGAAATAAATGGATACATGTCATTTGATTATTGATTCCGATAGATGTTGCCCTATTATTTGTTTTCCATAGAACTCATTCCTATATATATATATATATATATATATATATATATATATATATATATATATATATATATATATATATATATATATATATATATATATATATATATATATTCATTTGAAACCATTCTAATTTTGTGAGACCGTGAGACCAAATGTAAAAATAACTTTAAAATGCAAAATAAATGAAAAAATCCAAAAATTCTATTTTTAAATATTATTTTCGGAACTTGAATTAACTAAATAAAATAAAATAAAAATAAAATAAATCTAGTTTTTCTTTTTTTTTTTTTAAAAATATGTGAAATATTCTAAATAGAATATCACACTCACATATTCTAAAAAATAATTTTAAAATGCAAAATAAATGAAAAAATCTAAAAATTCTTTTTTTTTTAAAATATTATTTTCGGAACTTGAATTAACTAAAAAAAATAAAAAAATTCTTTATTTTTTTTTTGAAAAATACGTGAAATATTCTAAATAGAATATTACACTGTACGTATTCTAAAAATAATTTTAAAATGCAAAATAAACGGAAAAATCAAAAAATTCTTTTTCTAAATATTATTTTCGGAACTTGAATTAACTAAAAAAAATTTTTAAAAAAAATAAAAAAAAATAAAAAAATGCGTCTCACGGTCTCACAAAATTAGGCCGTCTCACATGAACCTAACCCTATATATATATATATATATATATATATATATATATATATATATATATATATATATAGAGAGAGAGAGAGAGAGAGAGAGAGAGAGAGGTTCAAATGTTTCCAACAAGTATTGTGTGCATGTATGCACCAATCACAATTTAACAAATTATTTATTATTTAATTAAATATGTAAGGGTAATTATGTAATCTTTCATTTTAATTTTTTATTTAGTCTGATTGTTATCCCTTTGTATTAGGCAATGATTTATGATTGCTTTACTTATCATTTTCTTTATATGTTCGATTGGAACGTCTTCCACACACAATTATCGACTCCATTATCTGTTCATTAATTTGTTTTGCACACTCGATGAATCTTCATACTGGAAATCGGAACCATGTATTTATTTTTGTTCTTTGATCTTTATTTGTTTTTACTGTTTTTTCAAATGCATATATATCAACTCTTTTAATCTTGCAGGATAATGAAGATCAGAATCCCGGGAAGAATCTGTGTAATGTCAATGATCCCAAGAATCGTGTGAATGCAGTTTTGAAGGAAAAAAGAAGATGTAAAATATGCTTTGGATTTGGTCATGATAGTAGAAACTGTCCTTTTGGATTGAAGAAAGCATAGAACCACAAAAAATTCATCAAATCGGACGTTTTTTTAGATATTATTAAGTTTAATTTGAGTAAAATAAAAGTTTGTTTTGATGAATTATATGATATTATTAAGTTTTATTTCAGTGAAATAAAAGTTTGTTTGATGAAATTTACGTTTGTTTTTCTGATATATTTATGTTTATAGAATTATCCAGTTATCATTCATATAGAATGTCAAAAAAAACACGTTTTATATATATATATATATATATTATATATATATATATATATATATATATATATATATATATATATATATTATATATAGATCATTCCAACAAAATGTAAAATCAAATTTTTTCATTACATTTCATAAAATATGTTTGACGATTTCATAAAATCAAAACACATAATGTCAAAAATAAAACGTGTAAACAATGACAAATACAATGACTTGAAGTTAAACATATTCAAGATTTAACTGTCTTGTAAGCCGTATTAATATAACATTCTAGTGGAATTATTTGAAGATAACACACAGTAAATACTACTAACATATTATTCTAATAGAATTTTATGCAGACAATACATTAGGCTAAGTCGTGTTTATACATCTTATCAGCCATATTCTTAAAATACTCTGATAGATTATTCTCGTAGAATTATTTTGTGAATAAAATAATATGCAGATTTTTAGAATTGATATTGATATATCCATCAGATAGAATTATGGCATAAATAAAATGTTGTGCATATTTTTTTTTAAATACATAATAATATTGTAAAGTAATTAATATAATGTACTATTGAAATGTTTTAAATTTGGAATATAGTAAAATATGAATATTTTTATCTTTAGCATGTTTTAAAACAGAATCAAATTGAAATCATTATTTTTTTATGAATGATCCATAGTATCAAACCTTTTAATTTGCATAGAATCCGTGTTCATCCCTATTTCTTTTCTATGTCAGTTTATCGTATTTTATTTTTTCGTCTTCAAAGCATATAGAAACACTATCGAAATTTCATAGTTATGGGCGATCAAGTACCAGATGTCAATAATCATATTTATCAGGAACAATATTTGGCTAGTGATGATGAAGATGGAATTGAAGATTTCGATTTTCCTGATAATGATACACTATATAATGGCAGATTTCAAATAGTAGAAAACAGTAATCCTAATCTAGGTGAGTTTTTGGATAATTTGGTTAATTGCTCATTGTATTTTCAGATTCTATCTTGGTACACACATGTTTAATATTAAATGTTAATATTTTCATTGATGAACATACAGATGACGCAAATCATGCAGAAGATGAAAATCATTTCGTTGATGAAGATACAGAGGTTAATATTGATTTCATTGAAGGTAGTAAATTCAGTTCAGGATATTGAAATTATTACATAATAATAAAATTATTTCTGACTAATATTTATATAATTCTTTCAGAATAATTTTGTTTTTGTTGTGTTTAAACAGGACAACCACATGTTACACATGATTACGTTTCTCCTGGTGGCACCTTGTATTGGACCCCGATTGTTTCAGATGATATCAAACTAAAAATTACATCAAAATTGGATTAATATGATGAAGCACTAACAATGTACAGAAAATATGCATTAGAATCTGGTTTTGATTTCAGGCTTGGAAGAGTAAAAAAAAAACAAAAAACAGGATTATTACAAATAGACATCTTATATGCGATCGGGAAGGTAAACCAAATACTAGTAAAGTAGATACTCTGGACATTCAACATAATAAGACTCAAAGAAGGAAATATTTATTTAGGAGGAATTGTAAATCGAAAGTTGTTTTACATATAATTCCAGGTACTCTTAAATATGTCGTGAGTGATTTTGTCGAACAACACAATTACGAGCTATTTAGCAAGGGCAATATGTACTTATCTCGTTCAAAGAGAAAACTAGATTATTCCCAGGAAATTTTCATTCATAATTTGTCAAAATAAAATATTGGTCCTGTAAAAGGACATAGACTATATAGTGCTCTTCAGGTCGGTCCTTCGGTTCGAGGTGGGAGGGACGCGAAATTCCTTGTTGACAAGATGAATGACAGGAAGAAAAATGTCCCATCATTTACTTTTGATCATAGAGTGTTGAACAAAAGATTGAATGCTCTATTATGGGATGACGAAATAGCAAAGTATAACTACAATTCGTTTGGAGACGTTGTATCACTCAATGCCACATTCAACATGAATAAGTATTTCTAATCTTTAACACATTTACAATAAGAACTTAATTGTTTTCATTTATGTAAAATAATATTATATTTTTAAAATAGGTATGATATGGTTTTTGTTCCGTTCACTGGCATTGATAACCACAAAAAATGTATAACATTTGGTGTTGGACTTTTAAGTAAAGAAGATGGAGTTTCTTATGAATGGTTGCTTAGAGCTTTTTTGAAAGCTTTTAGAAAACAATCTCAATTGGTTATATCTGACCAAGATCCAGCTTTGAAAAAAGCTATTGATAACGTTTTCCCGTTGGCACATCATAGGTTATGTATGTGGCATATTACAAAGAAGTTGCCAAATAAGGCATGCATAGAAAGATTATTATACTTATTTTTTGTCATGGATATATTATCATTTAATCAAATTATACCATAATTAATTGTTTTAGCTTTTTTATTTTACTCATCCTCATTAAATTTAAATTTATACAGATTTGATCAATTGAAGATGCAGCCACCAATCAAAAATTTCGAAAGCGTTTCCACTCTATAATTTAGAATTCTAACCTGGAACCACATGACTTCGAGCACGTATGGCATACGATGTTAGAGGAGTTTAAAATTATAGATAATAGTTGGATGAATACCATGAATGGTTTGCCAAGATCTTGGATACCCGCATTTTTCAAGCATATTCCAATGTCTGGTCTTATGTGAACTACATCACTGTCTGAAAGTCAGAATTGGTCATTTCAAACAACCACATTAACCGGTTCTTATCTTATCATGTTTATGATAACATTTAATTTAGTCATGGAACGACAAAGCTATAATCAAATTCTCAATGATTTTAATACTACCACCACTTTTACTAAATTCATTACCCGTAGTCCGAATGAAGCTCATGCTTTAAAGGTATATACACACAAGATTTTTAAACAGGTTCAGAAAGAGATATCAAGAGCTGATGATAATTGTTTCCAAGAGAATGTGATATCTTCCAACAATGTTGACACAATTATCATTTTGGAGAAAAAAAACAACATAACCACTAAGCAACCAAATGATGTCAATGTTGATGACAAAGATGAGGAATACAATTACGATTGTACTGAATACACTGTATATTTTTCTTTCACATAAATTGTCATTTTATCCTTTGAATTTACACTATAAATACTTACAACTTCAACATTCTCCTTAACCATCTTATATATTCCAGGTCACACATTCAACAATAGATAGTTCATTCAATGTACTTGTATGCATTTTGAACATGTCAGGATCTTATGCAGACACATATTCTATGTGTTTAAGTTTTATGGCATCGAACAACTTCCTGAAAAGCACATTCTGAATTGTTGGCGTAGGGATGTTATTCCAACATAATTATTAAGAAGACGCTTCACTAATTCTTTTGATGATTCGAATTCCGACATGACTGCTATTGATATTTTTAATACTGTTGACCGTTGTGTTTCTTTTTTGAGTCATGATACGGCTAAGTTAAAGTTATACCTTGACGAGCTGAATAAGTTGCTAAAAAATCGTAGATGATTGTCCAAATCATGATCGACCAAACAGGGCAGAACATTTCAACAAGCTTCTAGGCATGGTAGTTTCGGATGTAGTATCTGATGTTAGTGATATTCAGAATCCTTCAGATATTCATAACAAAGGATGCGACAGTCGTGAGAAAAGATTAAAATTTAGAAAAGAGATGATTGACAAAGAAATCTTGAAACCTAAGAGAAAGTGTGCTATATTTAAACAGATGGCTCATCATGACAAAAGAAATTGTCCTTTAAAAAACATCCAGAACTAGTTTCTTTGTGTGTTACTTTAATTATTTTAGTAAAATCACATTTCATTTTACTTTGGTCAGTTCACATTCAATGTTATCTTTTATGTCGTTCAATAAAGTACTCACCTTGACTGTTAGTGATCATGGCCTTGTCAATTAATCTAACAAGATTTATGTTTTTTTTTTATCTCTTAAAAATTATTATATTACGAAATACAAATATTCATTCTATCAATTCTATAAATTCATTCTGAATATCTTAAAGCAAGTTATAGAACTTTTTCCAATCGTTTTAATATTGATTTTCATTTTATCTAAACGTTTTATTGCTTAATACAGTATATAAACCATGTGTACAATTTTTTTTCCGACATAAGATAATACAAAGTATATACAAACATTAAGTAAACAATATTCAATTACAAAAATACTATATATTTATTAAACATATTCATTCCAATAGAATTTATACTGATTTTTTCTGAATTATACATTTATACACACATATTTCCTTTCAAAAAGGCTATATTATACCGAAAGATACATTTCTCATATACATCCCATTAATAGAAAATTAAATACTATAACATATTCTATTAGAATCAAAATAATAAAAAATATTCTACTAAAAAAGATTCATCAACACATCCATTATTAACAACAACCGCGTATTAGATTAAAACCAATTTACCAATTTAATACTAAATTTTTTCCCTAATCAACCAATCAAAAACTTAACATTAAATGAATTCTGATTCTACTAGAATTAGTTTTCCACAATTTAAAACATCATCAATCACTAAAGAATACAATGCATCAACACAACCATTAAACCAAAACAAACATTCTAAACCTTCTGACAAACAAAGTACTTTTTCCAAAAGCTGACATAAACCAGATTTTTTTTTTGAAAAACCGCAAGAAAAATGGTTCAAATACTATCATGTCAACATGTATCTTCAAAATACCAAACTACCACTTCAAATTCTTACCGATGGCCCCTCACTTTTCTCTTTTTCTTCCTATTTTCAGCTGACTCTTGAAGAAGCATATTTTTTTTCAAAATATCCAGCTTACGAAATGCTTCATAATCTATAACTATCGTACCCTTATACTTGTTGAAATCAACTGTTAACAATCTTGCCATGTATTTCTGTTGGGATTATTAGATTGCATCATGGGCTCGGTCCTTAGCCCAGTTTTGATTGCCGGTATTGGGCCTGTCCAATCGTGCATATTTTGTTCTAGAGTTTAGTATATAAGTTGCATGCATGCAATATTTGTAGTTAACGCTTTCATAATTTTTCTCTTTGAGTTTTGTAAACCCTTGCTCGCCTCTACAACGGAAGTTCTTCATCAAGCTCTGCTGAGGTGTGACTTTATTGAATCATAAGCATACATTTGATTCTATTCTGTGTTCATTCATTTACTGTATTTTTCTTGTTTGATTTTCATAATCATACCTATGAAAGATCTAATCGATCTAGAGTTTAATTCTCATCAATTGGTATCAGAGCAGGAGACTGTGTAATTCATACACATCTCTTCTATCGAAGAAGTTATTAGGGTTTTTAATTCCGCATTGATTGATATTAATTGAACCGTCATTCCATATTGACGTATCTCATTAATTGTTGATCTAGCCCTAACGATATATTACAAGTCTGATCTTTTACAGGTAATCGATCAAAAGTCATTACAATGTCCATGGACGATTCACAAGCCAATCCAATCAACATCTCCAACAGCATTGGTTCGACAACAAGGATACCAATCTTGTATACACAAGACTATGAAGTCTGGACGCATCACTTCGAAGATTATGTGATTGAATCGGAGGATAATGGATACTTGATCTGGGAAGCGATCACCGTTGACCCATTCGCTCACTCAAGCACTTCTAAGATTGTCAAAAATCAGAAGGAGTACAATCAGCTTGTTAACGATGTCAAATATATTCCTCAAGACGAGAAGGAAAAGTTTCAATGCAACATCAAAGCCCTGAGTATGATTAGGTTTGCACTGTAGTCTTATACGTTTCATTTGGTAAGTTCTTGTGCCATGGATAAAGAGATCGCGGACAGATTAAAAGAATTGTATTCCACTGACGAAGATTTGGAACATTCAATTCAAACTCTCTTGCTGTCTGAATTTGGAGACTTTAAGCAGAAGCCTGAATAGAAACTTGTTCAAGCCTTTGGTCGCTTCAATCATCTTTTAAGTAAGATGATAAAGCATGGGATTGAAAGGAAAATTATCGAATAAAAGGTTACTTTTATGAACGGTCTCAGATCTGAATGGATGGCTGTTGTATCTACAGTTAAAGCTCATGAACAGTTCAAGTCATATTCTCTGGCGAAACTAGTAGGTATTTTGAAATCCCATGAAAGTGCACTGTCTAAGGAAACGAACATGGTTTCCAGTCTGGGTTCTTTAGCTCTTGTCTCTAAAGGAAAAAGCTCAATTGAAGAAGAAGAGGAATTGGATCTTGCTAATTATGATCTAACCGGTGAAGAATATGCCTTGATGGTGTCTAACCCTAGAAAATTTATTAAGAAGAAGTTCCCAGCCAACAAGAAC